CTGGTCTCCACTGACTTCAAAGACAGTGGAGCAAAAGTTGAACTCAGTGCAAGTTTTTTACACCAGTTTTATCAATAGGCCTGGGGCTCTATTCTTGAAAAGTATCGCATACGAAAAACTAGAGAAATACTATAGTATGCGTAACATATACTATAGCATTTCCCTAGTTTTTCGTATGCGATACTTTTCGAGAATAGGAACCCTGTTCTTTTTGGCTGAACTTTTGCACCAGTTCATCTTTTTTCCTCTTCTTTCCTCCTACAGAGAAAAGGAAGAAAAATGAACTGGTGCAAAAGTTAAGTCAAAAAGAACAGGCCTAATGGAACATTAAACATTGAAGTTTTCACAGTGGAACAACACAATTGTACTCAATGCGCACCAGTGTTGCACCAGTTTTCCCAGTGGAAAACACTATAAGTGTTGACCAATGAAATTATCAGTATTCTAGTTAATTCGCTCACTTTTGTAATTTTCCCTCGTTTCAAAATACAAAATCGATCCCCGTGGTCCATGTGCTTTTTTTATCGATACATTAGTTTTAATTCACATTTTCCAATTGGTCGATGATGGCACAATACGTCTTGATTATTATCAATTACTACTCCAAAGTTGCTGTTAGCTGTCTATTTTTCTATAGTTAAAGGCACAACGTGTACGTGTGCGATGTGTTGTGTGCGATGCGTTGTGTGCGATGTGTGTGTATATGTGTGTGTTATTCGCACGAGGGCGCATGTAATATGTGACGTAGTGGAGGATGAGAGAAAGAGAGAGACAGAGAAAGAGAAAAAAGAGAGAAAAACGAATCGTGTCAAGTTACTAAGCGCTGTCATTTCTGGTGGTGCTTTATAGCTTTCGTTGCATATCGGTAGTGTTTTCGAGCGTTTAGTAGAAACGAAATTTACCAAAGCGAACGCATATTTAATAGAAATTTGTAATTGAAATGGCGGATACAACCGTAGACGCAACGCGACGCTTAAATGTGAAAAAACAAACATTGGACGACGCTTATGCGGCGCCTGCAAACTTCCTTGAGATCGATGTGATTAATCCGATTACACACGGTGTCGGCAAGAAACGATATACCGATTATGAAGTTCGTATGAGAGTGAGTAATATTTATTTTGCTTTATATACATTTGTGCAAATTTATTAAACGTTTCACTCATCTGTCATGTCGAAATTTAGTCTTTCCAATATTTTTTTACGCCCGCAACAAAACAGACGCATCGAATAATCATAATTCAGTCATGTCTACTGATTCGTTAGACATATATCGTGGGTTGTTCCCACTATCATATTGATAAAGCCGACGTACATTCATTGCTCTATAGATTTCAAAACAAATCTATAAATTTGCTCAAAAATCTAATTGGTGTATTGATATTTTTTTTTTTTTATATACTGACATTAATATCATAAATTCAGACAAACTGTATATTTAGAGCAACAAAACATGAAACTGTAACATTGGAAAATTGAAGATAGCTGTTTAGTGAATAATTGAATATGAAAATATGTGTGCATACGTGTATTTGCATTATACATATATACATACACATGTATCGTAGATATTTCAAAACATTGGAGACTTCTGAACATATTTATTAAGAAACTCAATGTTTTCAAAGTTATTAACTTTTCCAGACAAACTTGCCAGTCTTTAAAGTAAAAGATTCAACAGTAAGAAGACGATACAGTGATTTTGAATGGCTGAGAAATGAATTAGAAAGAGATAGTAAGGTTAGTTACTGAAAGAGGTAATTATACTTAAAAACAGATTCTTTTTATATCTACTTTTAATTATGAATAGAATCGTAGGGACATTTAAAAAATAATATCAATTTGTCAACTACTTCAGAAAGTATACATTTATTTTGGTACCTCTTACATTTATTTATTAAACCTATTATTTAACTATGAAGGTAAGAAGCGTACGTTTGTAAGATATGAGAAAAGTATCATGATACTTGTAGGTACTGTGCCAGGACTTGAATTTTTCTCTTTCTTAGACAACCACTGAACCACAATTGTTTCTTTTTGATACTTTTTTGTATTTCACCTGTATATCTTATTGTAATGTAATAATAGAAAACTATTTTTCATATATTTTCTTAAATTACAGATTGTGGTACCACCTTTACCAGGGAAAGCATGGAAACGTCAAATGCCTTTTCGTGGAGACGATGGAATATTTGAGGAAGATTTTATCGAAGATCGAAGAAAAGGCTTAGAAGTTTTTGTTAACAAGTGAGCATATTGTTTTATGTGCAACAAAAAATTGTACAGTTATGTTTCATACACAGAAATAATATGCAATCTAATCTCTATACATAGAAGTGATTATTTAATCTAGTACTCTCTGTATAATTATTTAAAAAATTTTATTCAAGTTCTTTAAAGATTTAGCAGGATGTTTATTTAAGCATGTTCATATTTATTTTTATTCTTTTTGAGATAAATAAATATATTAGTAGATAAAAATATATTAGTATATTAATAGAATAATATATATTAGTAGGTAGAAAAATAAGATGAGATATCTCTGATTATTTTTCTCAACTCAGTAATGCCTTTCAAAGATAGTAGAATTTGCCGTTTTAACTTAATTTAACCATAAAAATAGGCAACTTGTTTCTTTTGCAGAAATCATGTTCAGTATGAACACGAAACGAAAGTTATTGAAGCACATTATTTCTTAATCATGTGTATTCTATTGAAATCATTTATATATTCTGATCGTAGTACTACTGTACATGTAACATATCTCCAACAAATGTCAGTGATTGTCTGTAATAATATTTTATCTGGACATATGAATTTATATGTACAGCTATTCATATTGCATAATTATTTGTATTTCAGAATAGCTGGACATCCTTTGGCACAGAACGAACGATGTTTGCATATGTTTCTGCAAGAACCGGTGATAGACAAGAATTATGTACCTGGAAAGATACGTAATACATAAGTCATTATAAAAAAAAATATATATATATCACGAATACCTTTTCCACCAAGTCGTCATATTTGAGATCACGTTTTCATTACATTTACATCTTATTTGGAAGTCACAAATATTCTTATTTTCTTGCAAGAACCAAGTAAGCTACCTATACTACGTTATCAAATCGGGATGCTTATTTGGAAAATATTCACATTTCTAGTTTACTCTATTATTATATATTACACGAAAAACATAATAAAGTATCTTTATAAGGACATAAATAAATGATAAATTGGCAAAATCATTCTTACATATTACTAGGTTGATTCTGTCTGCTGTTATCATATACTGTTTATAACAAAAGAAATAAGCAAAATAAAAAAATGTTATTATTCATAAGAGTTATATAAAATGTACTCCTTATTTTGTTAATTAGTAGGTAGTGTATTATTTAACATAATTAAAAATTTGATACATAAACTATTAGTTTTTAATTTAATAGAGGATAGTGTAATTGAAAAGGAGATAATTTTAAAGAGTAACTATAAACATACACATCCATCCACCTTCCCTAAAATTAAATTTCTACTTCAAAGTTTTTGCAAAATTTTGTTTTATTCACAAATATTTACATTGTAATAAATATGTAATTCTATCGAATAATACACAAACAAGATCAAAAATGTTATGCAAGAGACTGTTTATAGCAAGTTACAATTTCTATATTTCATTGATTTGTATTATATTTTAATGAATAACACTATCAATTTCTTATAGATATATATCCTGCTCAGTCTTAATGGATCTCTTGTTCTTGAAGTAACCTTCTATATACTTACGTACACACTCTTGTTCTGAAATATATAAACGGAAGAATATATGAATATTACGATTTTGAAATAATTTGTTAATGTACTTTTTTTATTGCTATATTCAGACTTGAGAGGGGGATATGTATTTGAAATATTTTTTGCAATACAAGTGTATTTTGTATTTCAACGGAGCACATGAAAGTTTTATGTGTACCTTGTATTTAGAATCGAAAGAGTATGTTTTATGTATTTTGTAATTCAAATAATAAGATTAGTTGTCAATCTTAGTATTTGAAATACAAAATACTTTTATACGCTCCCATGAAACACAAAATACAAAATATTTTCATGTGCTGCACTGAAATGTAAAATACAATTATCTTGTACAATAAATATTGTTTTTCAAAAAATAGTATTTTAAATATTCAAATAGGTCTAGCCCTGGCTATATTGTGAATCATAAATTGAACATTATGAGGTATATAGAGTAGTAGCTATACTTTTTCCTAATATATTTATTTTCTATTTAATTATATAGAAAGAAACAATATAAATTATAAATATTTGAAATTGAACAAATTGAAATTAGGTTTTTCCAGCGATTAACTTTTTTTTAATTGAGTATTGCACACAGTTCTCCATTAGTGTTATATTGAATTACTCAATTGATAACAAAACAAGATATAATCGTCTAAAATATATTTAATGCAAATATTTTTATTTAATATTATTATAATATTAACTTATTTTATTATTCAGAATTACGTAATTTGTTGAACGAGTACTGAAAAATGTAACTATATCGGATCTATCAGTGGCTCACCTGGAAAAGTATTCTCTATAATGAGCTTATCTGTGATGTACTTTGCAATAGCTTTAAAAAGATGACGATCTTTAATTTTTCTTTTTTTGTAGAATGGCATTAAGTATTTCACAATCCAAGGAGCTATTCTTTCTTTGCAAGCTGGTAAATGTTCTTCTATACATACTGGTGAATCTGGCATCATTTCTTCTTCCTCAAATTCCCCAAACAAATGAAGAAACTTTTCTCTTACTCTTCCATGCCTTCGATAATTTGTCAGTGATAATTCAGTCATTTTAGCTTTTAATTTTGAAACTTGATGTACACGTTCCACGAACCAAATAGCATTTATCTTTTGTTTTTGTTTGCTTTCAATAATTTCATTTATATTAATTCCTTTTGATTTAATGGTTTTTTTACTTTGCATTTCTTTATAACGACTGAAACTGATTCTTCCCTCGCTTGTATTTACTTTTGCTGTATTAGGCCTCGATACATTATTACTTATTGGAACATTAAAAAGATTTGTGTCTACAATAATATCCGCTTCTGAACATATCTCGTTAATTTCTTTATCGATATTTGCTTTAGTAACACCAGAATGTTTCTCAATTAATCTCGTAAGATCACTACTATCATCACTTTCGCAAAACATATCTTGCATATGTTGTAATAGAGAATCTTGCGAATTTTCATCTTCATTTCTGACAGATATGTTATCCATTACATGAGAATCCATCTGATGATTGAATCCATGACTAGCGTCGTTAGAGTCTTTTGCAATATTTTGCAGCATTTGTGTATCTGTTTCATTTGTATCTATGGGAAGAGTTTCATCATTAAAATTTTCCATAACACTCCCACTTTCAAAGAGATTGTTAGAATTCATAGTGGGTAATACTGTTTGCAATGATTTCTCACAGTTGAATGTAATAGATACATCTTGTATATTTATTCTTTCCGAATCCATCCACGTATCATCTGTTTGTACAGCGATGTCAGATTTATTTTTTGATGTTTCTAAAAATATTATCAATTTTTTATACGCTTTCTTTTTAACTGTATGTGATTTTACATCGTCAATCTACAAAGACAAACAAATTACAATGATATAAAATATCGACGAGAAAATCTTAAATACTGCCTTCCTTTTAAACCATTTTAACTATTTTAAATAATAATACTTATTACCATTTTCAGCATATTTTGTCTGTATATACTAGTTTCCAATGCCAATTGGACAGCATGTAATTCCATTTGGTCTGCATACTTTTTCACTTTAATGCTTGGTACATCATTTTGTTTGTAACAAGTTGCATAATTACTAAGTAGGCATTTATGAAGATAGGACAAATATACAGCACGGACCTATACAAATATATATTGTGAAACAATTATCTATAATATAACAGTCATTATACAATATTGAAAAAATATTTTATAAAATTTTTCAATAAAATCTTTGATTATAATTTCTAAATTGTTAATTACAACTTGATTCTGATTAGCTTATTTCTTATTTTGCAATAAACATTAATATCATCACTTAGATCTTTTAAATTTTAGTTTAAAACTTTAAAACTTTTCAAGTTAAATTAAAATTTGATTGTAAAAGTTACTTCTATATTTATATGCATTCTGTCTAAAAAAAAAAATAACTGAATTAAATCAATTAAATCTCTTTATAACAAAATTTGCTAGAATTTTGAGCATGCTAAACTCTAATGGCAAGAAATATAAAATGATGTAATATATACGTGTATCTGTGTGTGTGTGGTGTGTACGCAATTATATGCAAAGAAACTTGCCATTGTAGTGAGATGTAAAAACTCATTGTTGGATTCGTTGACGATGACAGAATTATCGTTGGAAAGTGGTGGTAACGGCATAAATGAAAAGTCGTCGATATTATCCGAATTAATATCGCTGTCATTACAGACATTCTGTTCTTTTTTCAATGTAAACAGCAAAGAAGCATTGATATGATCAGTCATCATTGCAGAGAATGTTTTGCAATAATCACATCGTATGTCAAATTGTACGACGTTTGTTGTACATACATACATCTGTCAATAACGTAATCCTCAATATCGATAGACTTCTACATTACATATGTATAAACAACTAACTAATGAAATAAATTAATGTTTGATCAAAAGAAACTACGTTTGCTGTGTCGTCATATACTACGTTTACACGGCACGCTTTACGCCGAAGTTATACATTGATGTTATGAAACTGGCCAATCACAGTCATTCCATTCTTCAGAGGAACAGCTATGATTGGCCAGTTTCATACATCGATGTTATAACTTCGGCGTAAAGCGTGCCGTGTAAAGGCCCGTCTACAATACACGGAGTAAGAAGTAAGAGTAAGAAATTGACCAATCACAGTCGATTATTCTTCTCACATTTGACTGTGATTGGTCAATTTCTTACTCTTATGCTAGATTCACACTGCATCCGATTTGCGTCGTACGACGTTCCGCAACCAATCAGAAAACAGGATTCCGATGTTACGAAGCAAAATCCATCGGAATCCTGTTTTCCGACTGGTTGCAAAGCGTCGTACGACGCAAATCGGATGCAGTGTGAATCCAGCATTACTTCTTACTCCATGTATTGTAGACGGGCCTTCAAGGTAAATTTTCACGAGCTGCTCTAACCGGCTTACTGTGATTGGTCAATTTCTTACTCTTACTTCTTACTCCGTGTATTGTAGACGACGCCTAAACGTACACAGTTTTTAAGTCCGGATCTACAATAGGGTTTTAAGCCTTAAGCCATAAGAAATGGGCGAATCACAGTCGCTTATTCTTCTCGGATTCGACTGTAATTGGTT